TCAGAATGTTCAAAGTAACAGCTTGAGCCGAGGGTTGCAACCATGGTTGCAACGTGGAGGAGGGAAAACAAACTGGGCATGAACCTGGTGCTCCGTCTACACTTCTGCATTACACTCGTGCTAACCCCTAGCATAGCTTATACGCATAGGGTCACTTTTTTAAAAACAGATTGCACAGTGAACTGAAGGAAAAGAGTGCTTTAACTTCCCTTTGCACAGATGATTAGTGGGCTGACGGGGCATATGGGATCCTTTATTTCCAGAACTTTTCCCTCCCACTCAGACATCAGAACACTTTGATTCATTTCATGACAGCTGACACAACACAATACATTCAAAGATGCAGCAAGTCCAGGGAAATCAGTTCAAACCACAACGACAGCTAAACGACCCGGCCTCATGACTTGGCTTATGCCTGAATGAACAGCTCTGTGGGGGGATGTGTGCTGCGCTCACCCCACTATGGAATTCTAAAAACGCCACTCTTGATAACCAAGCCGTGGGCTTCTTATGGTTTTTGGCACCAATGTGCAGGAAGATGTCCAGTGGGTGTGTTGGAGAGCTCTGAATGCCAGACAAACCCAAAAGTGCAGTACCAAGTGAGCATGTCCACTCTCTCTCTACTTTCATTGAAGATGTTTTTTCAAGATGATATGCAACGGGTACACAAGAGTTTTCTCTACTCCAGAAAATCGAATATTTAACCATTTTGTGTACTTCAGTTCCTGACAAAAAAGTTTCACATATCATGCAGTCATTGACATGCCAAACGTTTTTGACTGATTCCTGCCTCATCAATCAGGCACAGCGTATTAACACTTTTCAGTGGCTTTCTCTCAGGGTCAGACTGGGAATAAAAAAAATCTAGGAATGCCACTAAATCTGCCATCCTTACCACAGGAGTCTTGGAAAACCGAGCAGACAAAGCTCAGTTTCCTGCTGACCCACTGCGGTATTGATCAACTTCCCTGACTAATCCCATTTACAGATCCCTGAGGGCGGTGCAAATAGCCCCCACATGCATACATTATAAGGCAGATTATCATCCTACAGTTACTATCACGGTCTTCTGATCATGTTCCCACTATTGTAGAGATAAGGACCGCGGGGGTTAAAGTGCTCCTAAGTCAAACACAAACAAACCACCAGAGCTAGTAATTCAGGCCTGCGCATGTGGTAAGGAGAGCAAAAACAACCACTACCCTCACTGTGTCACTCAGGGTGTTCCCCTTTGTCCCAGAGCTTTCTTTCCGTAGAAAACCAAGATCATAAAAAATAACCAGTTCACGCAAATTCTTTTCTCCCCGTGTGCTCTTCAGGTTCAAACTTAAAATGGGAAAATGACTCCTGTTATAACAGAGACAGAGGCAACTATTCTATAAACTGAAAATGTCACACTCTTCAGAAGGAAACTGGGTCCTTCCACATTTGCCTACCAGTCCCCTTCTTTAGTCTCACATCCTATAACAACTTTCGTGTCAATATTGTACACCTGTGAGTGTTCCCACTGGGTTGCAAGCTCACGAGCATTACACATGTGTACTGGGAGAATCATAACTAACTTGTTTTTGGTTTCGCAAGCAAATAACTCTCCTAACATCTGTTGGCCTCTTAGTTTTGGACGGACACTGATATTCAACTGTTGAATATACAGTGTTGCCTCAGGGAACATGTCGTTTGATATGTCTAGCAGCTCACAGCGACTGCTTTGGTGAAACATCAGTGGTGAGTGGGAAAGCTTTTTTAGAATACTCAAACATCATGGTTCTCCCTCTCGTTTCCTCATTCTGAGTTAACGCAGACATTTTTTAATTGTTGTGTAAGCGAGTTACATAACACTACAGAACTGGGCGAAACCAAAGTCTTGGCAGGTTCTGAGGTATTCACTTAATCCTGCACAATGCGGCCAGGCATCCCTTAAGGGACACCGAGTACAATGCTCGTGAAGTCACTGGTAGCCGGCTGGAGTGTCAGTGTGCTTCACATCCTCTTGTATGGCAAACCAACCTGAATACAGGACAGGCTGGAACTGGCAGCTTTCCCAGTGAGTGTAAACAAGCACTTTAGGAGTACACCTGCTTTATTACCCATTTGTCAGATACTCTCATATCTTCAAGATAGTGAATTATTGTTACATCACAAACTAGTCTCGGAAGAAATAATTGTTTGTGTACAAACTAAGAGCCAGACAGACAAAATGCCTCTTTATAGGACACAAAAGCCGAGTGACACGTGTAAGAGACACAGGGGAGGGGATGATGACTCATGGAGGAGAGGAAGGTAAAGGGCCAGTCATGCGCCAATCTGTTTCTTGTATTCATCCTTAGAAATGAAGCGGCGGTACAATCCTCTGAAAAACTGATCATAACATTTGAAAGCAAACAAAAGCCCAGTATCCAGGGTCACTGTGACATGGCTGCCCTGCACAGGCATCAACTTCAAGCAGGTGCTTTCTGTTGCACAGCTACTTATAAAGGTGTGCGAGTGCCGAAAACAACAGAAAAATGACATTTATAGTGGGACAACAAAATAAACACGTGTGTGGCTAAATTGCATACAGGCAGATTAATCGGTGGTGTCATCTGAAACACTGGAGCTGTGTGAAACAGACTTTCCAGGCTTTTAAGGACTTATTTAGAGTTGCATGTGTGGAAGAGAGGCACATGTGTGGAGTACACACAATGGAATGAATCGTAGCTTTAAAGGAAGTCGTACATTGTAAAAACAGCATTAGCAAGAAAATGATAGGGCGAGTCTGACAACATATGTATTAATTGGGCTTGCGCTAAATGACAGTTGTTTTGTTGAGAAGTGGAACACTGACTTACAACTGAAACTTCACAGTAATAAGCAGTACGTTTGCAGCTTGCTTTGGCGCAACAATAACACAGGAACCAAGAAATACGTATCTCACACCTACTTGTCAGGGTAGCTGTAGTGGAGCAACAGGTCATAAAGATTAGTTTTGAAAGTCACTTAAGTCCAACATAGTCAAGTAGTCATTAGAGATCTCCCTTTAGGGCTGCATGAAGATGACACAGGCGTGGAGTTGTTTGATTTTATTCAGTCTCAGGCACCTATGAGAGCTTCATTATACTACAGTAGGAAAGGTGTTGGCCCTTGCTCAGGCACACTCATTCAGAGCCTAGCCAATCTACTGTTCTGATAAGATAGTGTAGGATCACAACTGTTACTCGCATAAACAGCATGACTAAGGTTGGCTGGTATAAAGTAGTAAAATAATATTAGAGTTGTTGTGGGCCGGCGGATATGTAAAGTGGGGCGTGGGCCTAATGAGAGAATACGTTTCTTAAAACAAACATATCATCTGAGACTGCAAGCTAGATTTGAGTCACCATCATATCCTCCTTGCAAAGGATGTATAATAAATACCTCAATTGCGAAGATGATGCAGTAAGATGAGTCTTTTCTCTATGTATCTCTCTTCTCTCCTAGACACACTCACAAATGGCACCATGTATAGATAGCCTTTGTCATTTGTCAGCATGACTACAGAAGCAGACTGTCAACAAGGCTAAGAAGAACCTGAGACATGATAGGCTACTTTAATCTTCTTCTTATCTGAATTGGTTTACTAGCATTTTAGCTAAAGGCCCTGCATGGAGACCTTCTAGAAATCAGTTTCAGCCAGTTATTTGGCCCCTGTTTGTGCCACCAGTGATGCTAAGGACCCCATTATCAGGTTTCTTTGCTAAAAGATTTATATTGCAGCCTGTCTTTTCTTGCAAAGTTGTGGCTACTTTACAAACATTGCATTTTTAAATCACATTTAGTACAATGCATTGCATGTGAACAAAGGCACTGATGTTTTGTAAATGTTCTGGATGCACAACAATGCCATGCTTTCTTGACACGTTTGACTTGCACTACCTGGTTTGCCACCTTTTCATTGTTAATGTTAATTAATGACTCAAACAATAAGAAACACATTCTGAAGTAGCAACTCATGTGCAAACAAAGGACGAGTTCAGCCTTGTGACAAAGATAAGGAGGTATGTTGTGTTATCATGCAAGCTGTGGGAACATTAACATATCATCAAGCCTTAACAACAGTACAGTATAAGCTCTATGTTTCAGTAGTGATATAAATGAAAGGGCATTTCTTAAGCTTGCCAATATGATTCTGAAATACTTTGGGGAGGTTGATGACAAGAACACATTAAATAGTTTCGAGACAGTCTAACAACATTAAACCTACAACATATAGACAGCAAATTGTCATATTGAATAACAGAGAGATCTTTTTTAAGAGGATGGATATGTTATTGTCATGCTCCTACGGTTTGCTTTATCTGAGAACCCTGGTATAATGAATTAAAAATGTTATAAAGAAATGTGAGCAATGTTAATTATAGGGTTTCCAAAGCTGGTATTACTTAAAAAGTTGTGCTTTTAGCCATAAAGCTAACGTTAGCTTAATGATATCATGTGAATACAACACGCAGCACACAGACAGAGTGAAAAGGCTCACTGAATGACACTTATTCAAGTTTGTACTTCTATATTAGTTTCCCTAAAAGCAGAAAAACAAGCCTAAAGTTGGGTGAAACGAATAGTTATGCGGGTAACTCCGAGATAATGTCTTCTAACTTAAGCTAGCTTATCCAGTTAGCCCCTCTTACCTTTTGTGGGATCCCAGCGCAGCAAAGCAACGACAAAAAGCACCACAACAGGGCCCGACTGCTCACTGTCCAGTCCATGTTTTCTGGTCTCAGACCGGGATAGACAGCTGGTCCGGAGGGCCGTTGACTACATAGAACTTGTGTTTTGTCTTACAACCAGATGCTATTATTTTAAATCAACGTTAAAGGCACTGAGCCAGCAGCAGCGGTGAATACAACGTTGGATCCGCTTCTTCCTGAAATGAAAAGCGTGGGGGTTGGACTTTGGGATAGATATCCACACGAGTGGAGGAGGGGAAATGTTAGAGCCAATGAGAAAGGAGCTACAGACACCGGATGTGTTATAAAGTAGATCCGGGGGACATTTTCTGCAGAAGTCCACGAGCCCAGCCCTGGAGAGCATGCGTTCTGTGGTCAAACCAGCCAGTATTGAACGTTTTGCATTTAACATGGCTAGAAAACGCTTATTTGCATGCACATTTCCGAGACAGTATTACGATACCTGACATAAATGTGCATACAAATAGTTTTCTTTTTCTAATGCATCATGGTGCATGTTGGAACTGCGTGACTAGGCCGCGTCTGCCTGGACATGTCGAAGTAAGTTTAATTTTTTTATAACGTGAATGGAAAATCCTAATAATTGATTTCTTCTTACACACAGTATGTTTTACTGTCCACAGGGCCGGCCGTAAGGGTTCATAGCAGGTTTTGGAAGGGCTTGCATATCCCCACGTGGACCGAATGGAGACCGGCTAAGGCCTAACGAGACGGTGAGTTTTTGTTTAAACATTTGAAATCTCTTGTTTTTGATCGTGAATGATGATTTAAGTGCGTTAGACTTCTGATATGAAAATGAAGTCATCATATACTTTTCTGACTCAACCCCACAAATAAATATCCTAGTGTGTGGGTCTCAATTAGGTTCACTCAGACATTTTATATTTACAGGAAATGGATGTTAGTGTGGCTGGATCCCTGCATGAGCAACATGGTGAGTATATTATGTGATCACAATGTGGCATTTAATGGTTATGTATGATGATCATAATATGGTTGAGATCTGATTTAATATGAAGACAATTTACATCTGACATGACCCATATACAATCTTAAAAATGGATGGTGTTCAAATAACTTCTCACTCAAAGTTGTTTTCTTCTGCAGGAATCTGATTGATCAACAAATAGAAAAGTTACTGTCAATTAAAAGGTGAAACCAGGACTCATAAATCTACATGCCTAAAATCTCTTGTTTTAGATCGTGAATGATGATTTAAGTGCGTTAGACTTCTGATATGAAAATGAAGTCATCATATACTTTTCTGACTCGACCCCACAAATAAATATCCTAGTGTGTGGGTCTCATTCAGGTTCACTCAGACATTTTATATTTACAGGAAATGGATGTTGGTGTGGCTGGATCCCTGCATGAGCAACATGGTGAGGATCTTATGTTATCACCATGTGGCATTTAATGGTTATGTATGATGATCATAATATGGTTGAGATCTGATTTAATATGAAGACAATTTAAATCTGACATGACCCATATACAATCTTAAAATGGATGGTGTTCAAATAACTGCTCACTCAAAGTTGTTTTCTTCTGCAGGAATCTGATTGATCTACAAATGGACAAGTTGCTGTCAATTATAAGGTGAAACCAGGACTCATAAATCAACATGCTTCTGGGTTTCTTTGCATTCCTGAGCCATTAGAAAATACATATTGCTTAACTGTGGAAATATATCTTGTGAATAAACCACTAGTAAAAAAACAAGACAAACGGTATTTTTTGCTGCTTCTGTAAATTCATCGTACGCACTTTTCTTAACACCTGAATGGCTTTTTCCTTAACCATTCACAAAGGATGAGAGAAGTGCGAGAGTAAATGTCTTGTTATAACTGGGGTTACTTGGCAATTTTCCCAAGTCTCTCTTTTTACGCAAGACACAATCTAAATGATAAAAGCTATATTGGTTGTATCCAATTAATATGAAATGGCCAATGAGAGTTTATCGAAGTATGTTAATTTTGTATAACATGTGAATGGCAAATGCTAATTGATTTCTTCTTACACTAAGTATGTTGTACTGTCCACAGGGCCGCTCGTAAAGGTTCGTGGCAGGTTTTCGAAGTGCTTGCATATCCCCACGTGGACTGAATGGAGACCGGCTAAGGCCTAACAAGACTATCATGGTGAGTTTTTCTTAACTGTTTAAAATCTCTTGTTTTAGATCGTGAATGATGATTTAAGTGCGTTAGACTTCTGATATGAAAATGAAGTCATCATATACTTTTCTGACTCGACCCCACAAATAAATATCCTAGTGTGTGGGTCTCATTCAGGTTCACTCAGACATTTTATATTTACAGGAAATGGATGTTGGTGTGGCTGGATCCCTGCATGAGCAACATGGTGAGGATCTTATGTTATCACCATGTGGCATTTAATGGTTATGTATGATGATCATAATATGGTTGAGATCTGATTTAATATGAAGACAATTTACATCTGACATGACCCATATACAATCTTAAAATGGATGGTGTTCAAATAACTTCTCACTCAAAGTTGTTTTCTTCTGCAGGAATCTGATTGATCTACAAATGGACAAGTTACTGTCAATTACAAGGTGAAACCAGGACTCATAAATCAACATGCTTCTTTGCATTCCTGAGCCATTAGAAAATACATATTGCTTAACTGTGGAAATATATCTTGTGAATAAACCACTTGTAAAAAACAAAACAAACGGTATTGTTTGCTGCTTCTGTAAATTCATCGTACGCACTTTTCTTAACACCTGAATGGCTTTTTCCTTAGTCATTCACAAAGGATGAGAGAAGTGCGAGAGTAAATGTCTTGTTATAACTGGGGTTACTTGGCAATTTTCCCAAGTCTCTCTTTTTACGCAAGACACACTCTAAATGATAAAAGCTATATTGGTTGTGTCCAGTTAATCTGAAATGTCCAATGACAGTTTATCGAAGTATGTTAATTTTTTATAACATGTGAATTACGAATGCTAATTGATTTCTTCTTACACTAAGTATGTTGTGCTGTCCACAGGGCCGCTCGTAAAGGTTCGTGGCAGGTTTTCGAAGTGCTTGCATATCCCCACGTGGACTGAATGGAGACCGGCTAAGGCCTAACAAGACTATCATGGTGAGTTTTTCTTAACTGTTTAAAATCTCTTGTTTTAGATCGTGAATGATGATTTAAGTGCGTTAGACTTCTGATATGAAAATGAAGTCATATACTTTTCTGACTCGACCCCACAAATAAATATCCTGGTGTGGGTCTCATTTAGGTTCACTCAGACATTTTATATTTACAGGAAATGGATGTTGGTGTGGCTGGATCCCTGCATGAGCAACATGGTGAGGATCTTATGTTATCACAATGTGACATTTAATGGTTCTGTATGATGATCATGATGCGTTAGACTTCTGATTTAATATGAAGACAATCTACATCTGACATGACCAACATACAATCTTGAAATGGATGGTGTTTAAATAACTGAGCTCACTCAAAGTTGTCTTCTTTTGCAGCAATCTGATTGACGATCAACAAATGGACAAGATGCTTACAAGGTGACACCAGGACTCGTAAATCAACATGTTCGTGGGTTTCTAATGCGTGCATTCCTGAGCCATTAGAAAATGCATATGTCTTGTGAATAAAGCAATTGTAAAAAACAGAATTTTTTTCTTTCTTTAAATTCACCATGCACACTTTCCTTAACACCTGAATGGCTTTTTCCTTAGCCATTCACTAAGGATAAGAGAAGTGCGAGAGTAAATGAAGTCTTGTTATAACTGGGGTTACTTGGCAATTTTCCCAAGTCTCTCCTTTTAAGCAAGACACAGAGTCTAAATGATAAAGCTATATTTGTTTAGTCCAATTAATATAAAATGTCCAATGAGACACTTTGAAGGAGTTTACAATAGAATGTGGTGCTGTTGAGGGTCCTTGTTGCCTTTTCCTTACAGTAATGTAACTACTACTATACATGTTTTTTGTTATCATTGGAAAGTCTTTTGGCCATTGAAACCATGTACTGAGCTGGAGAGAAGTCAATTTCAAGAAATTAATTGGTTACTATTTTGATAATTTATTATTTGGCTTTTATTTTTTCTGGCAGACATCCCAAACAGTCTATGGTAACAGCTTAGTAAATGTGAAAAATTAGTTGGTTCTGTTATTCATAAATGGAATTGTGATTTAAATTAAGTATTTTACCTTTTTTTATTTTAATAGATTAAATGATTGATAAGTTGACATTCATATCACAGCTGAATCAATTATGAGAATACGTTGCTGTATGTTAGGACCACAAAGCTGCTCAAACTCTTTCCAAGCAATAGGTTTTATTGATCCACAACGATCAGAACCGTAACATTCTTTGACATCACTGAACACAACTAATGTTTGATATTTTTGTCATAACAACACCAACACTTGTGAAACCATAGGGCATGTCTTGACAGACACAGTAATGGCACAGAGACACTTTCTATATCCTCGACTGATGCAACAAATGTGATGGCTGACTACGGAGGAATGTTTATTTTAAAGGCACTTTCTGCCTCTTACACTTTGCCAACACACATTTAAACAAAACATGTAAAATAATAGTCGCCTGTAAAGCAGCTGAGCGTCTTGGCAGAATACAACATTGCTGTTCAGTAAAATTGTATGTCTTGGAAAACAGTACAAAAAAACAGCAGATCAATAAATAATGTAAGAGCATTCATTAGCTGGATGTCTTCTGACAACATTAAATAATATGGCTAATATCCAGCATGTCACTTATTCAAATAAAGCGGTAAGAGTGAGTTTGTCTCCCTCTTATGACCTAAAAACAAGGGTTTTTGTCGTCTCCAGTCCAAACGTGTGCAGTACATCACTGCAGTGGCCTCAATACACAAGCACAAGTGAATACTCCGATTGCGTATTTTCTCAACGCCAAAACCAAAATTATTAGTTTAGCTCAACTCTGGATATAACATGAAAAGAAGTCTTGAAGGATGTTGCGTAGAAGCACGTTGTCAGTGAATGAGCTATTCCTTGAACAGCTGAGAAGCTGCATTCAAGTTTTTACATTCATCAGACCTAGGCAATGTTTAGCTGCTGTGTTTGCAGATAAATGTTCCCCTCTAAAATCAGTTTTAACTTTAATCCCTACCACATGGTTAAAAGCACACAAGCAGTATGTTGTGATTCTGTCCATAGTGGATTTAAACTGACCTAGTGTCTTCAATGGACACAGTGCCGTTGATCTGTTTGCATAAAGGTGCCAGGCGACCGGCACAGGCAGCAGTGTGGATGGTTGATCAATGAGTTGTCCCTGTGAAATATGTATCAATTGAGACAGGGACTTCCAGAAAAATCTTCTCCAAATCTTAGGATGTTTCCCTCAAACTCATACTGTCTTCATCAGGTGCTTCAAAGCTTTGAAGAGTAACTGTTTAGCAACAAAATGCTCGATTAGAAAGGTCGCACTAAAATGTATTGTACTATCATGTTTAGTGCAGATGTACATCACAGGTCTTATGGTTCTTCTGATGGCTATTATGTTGATCCACCAACTCACACGTTTGTTAAAGCAGTCTGGACATGCCCCATGTATTGAATTCCATCCGAAAATGAAACATATTAAGAATAAAACTGATTGGAGGACCATCTATGAGTCACAACTCTCTTCCGTTTCCCTGCTTGTAGTCACCACAGATGATTACGACACAGCCCCCATTTACAGTTTTTGACACACTTCATGTGTGGTGCAACAATGGGACTGGAACATGGTTAAAAATATTGGAGTTGGCCCGGCCCGTTGCTGCACCTGTGGGTCTCGAGGGGCGGGGACTCATCATATTGCCATGGTGATAACATTTCAGTCATCACACACTTTGAACAGCGGTCTTCACTCTCCGGAGACCTCAGACTCCTCAGGTTCTTGGTCCTTCAAGGCCTCATTTGTCACAGTAACCATGTTGGCATTCGAACGTGTGTCCATGGCAGAGTGCATTATGGGTAGCCATAAATCGTCCATATTTGGCATCACAAATATTTTCTGTGGGAGAGCAAGCACAGTAAGGAGTCATTAAAAACTTAAAAATCAAAACAAATTATAATTACTTAATTTGATCAAACTGAAATATGTCTTTTCAATGAAAGAGTGTAGAGAATGAATGGAGCAGAAACTACAAATGAATACACTTGTTATAAACTAAATAAAGACACAGAAAAATACCTTAACAGCCACCCCCGTGTATCTAACCCTGCAATGTTATGTATTGGAACCAATAAGGACTGAGTTTGGCCATTGTTGAAAGCCAGATGTAAACACTCACTCACACATGACAACAGTGAGCAGTTCTGCACTGTATTTTACTGCCATGGAGGCGGGGGAGTACATAATAATAACCCCCAGAGGAGTCAGGCAGGGATAAATGTAGATGTGTGGTAGACCTGACAGGGACAGTAGTTGCAGGTGTGCCTCAGGGCAGTTATCTAGAGGCAGCCATATTATTACTTTGTATATACGAGGGGAGGGAAAGCCACAGGCAGACTGCTTTGAAGTGCATGTAGGTGGGCAGCCGTAAATTAATCCCAATGTCCTCTTTTATTACCCAAATACTGACCCTTAAACATCTGGGGGGACATTGTCTTTGCTCTTCAGTAAACCTTAAGCCTCTCAGTCAGGCAACTGAGGTTTTTAAACCACACAGGAGTTGGTAGACATCACGTGATATGACTTAACCTTCTAACATTTTAAACAAATTGTATTCATAATTAAGCATGTGCATCTTTTCTCAGTGTATACCTGGAATTCCTGGTCGAGTTTCTTCTCAATCCAGTCTGTCACATGAACTAAAGTGACCTCCCTCTCACCCAGTTTAGGCCGTGCTTTAAGCTCTAGGTGAGGCGGACTCCGGAAACCATACCTGACAAGAGAAGAACATTATTATTATTTTATTTTTTTAATAGTTTAAACCAAAACAAGCTGAATTGCAATCCAAGTTCTTACAGGCTACATAAAAGCAGGCACTTAGTTCAGGAAATGTGTGACATAAATTAGGCTGAAAATTATGCACATTTTAATGAAGCTTTTAAAGAACAAAGAAAGTCCTTAAGGATTTAACATTCCCCACACTGCTTTGGGCCCTCATTTGAATTCTAAACATTAAGTGAATTTAATTTACTGGTGATTAAACATTCTGTTCTTTCATCGTATGCATGTCCTTGTTTGCCCAGCAGAGGGTGCAGAGTTATAATCTGAAACCAATATTCCCTTGGAATCATCCTACTGACTGAATGCACTCGTCCCTGGAAGTGAACATACCATATCCTGTCCGTGGGGGGTGGTGGGATGTTGACAGCCAGCGTCCCACAAAACTCCTGCACCTCCACAGTTAGCAACAGGGGCGTGTTTGACACCTCCTCCATCTTCTTCTTAATGAACTCTGTCTCTGTGGCTTTCTGGAAGTACTTCGACTTGGCTATCTTGTCCACAAAGCGCATAATCTTGCTGGGCCTGTAGCCTCCCACGTAGCTACGTGAGCAGAGGATGGAAGGAGGAGGGGAGTCAAGGAGTGAGTCAGGTTCTTTATTTATTCATAACAGCATCTCTCTCTACTCAGCACCCACGATGGAGGAAGTGACCGGCTGCTACATTAAATCAGCAGCAGGCTTTCAAACGTGTGGCACTGAGTAGGTGGGTGGGCGGACTGAAAGGGCAGAACAGACTGTTTCAACACATCAGTGTGAATCTGTTGCAGCCCATTCTCAATTCAGATAATGATGTTATTGTTGCTAAGAGACATTCGCTCACCCCTCTGCTCCAGGAAGAATGGCTCTGTCACTGAGGAGTTCGGGGGGGGTCCTCTTCATCCGAAGAGCCGGCACTAGACGACTCCTCATCGCTGTCTGCCAGACAGTACGTCCGTGGCCTGGGCCTGTCACACACACATAAACACTCACTGTTGCACAGTCAGACTGTAATTCCCAATGAGTTCATCCCTACTGATATGAATAAATGTTTTTATTTATAAATAATTTTTTCTAGAGACAGGTGTACCCAAACTCACCAGAAATTGGGCAAATCCACAGTGGTAAGCATCCAAAGAGAGGATCCATATATAAAGAGAAGGGAGGAAAAGCCAATAGAAAATGGTAAGAAAAAACAAAGGTGACAACTTATATGGTTCCAAATGTAAATCCGCTCAATTAACCTCCAGCTTGGAGGGTTCGTTGTGAAGCAATAAAGGTAATCCTATTATGTGGGTCACAGATAATGTATGATGAGAAAATAACAAAAACAAAGAATAGAGTGCCACAGTGACGCGTCCTAAAACCCTTTTATAATTTTCGAATCATATATCTATTGATCATAAATCTATTGATTAGATTTATGATTCGAAAATTATAAAAGTATGGGTAGACGTGTGGATATTATCCGGCTGAACAAAACGTGATCCGTCTCTTCAATTTGTGTCAACCACAGACCTTATTTCGAGCTATTTTCCAAAATCCTATGGAGAAAATGCATTGGTTTTTGTCGAAGGAACCGGAAGTGGTAAAATGCTAATTTACTTCCGGGTTTTAGGATGCGTCACTGTGGCACTCTATTTGAAACATATATAAGACATTCTAAATGCAGACTTAGCTTCATTATCTTCATCCCTGAATGTTATTGAAAGCCTCACCACTCTTTTCCTTGCTCCCCGAGCCCCTCGCCCTCCTTCCCCAGACGGGCCAGGTTCATCTTGGTTTCTAGTGTCATGAGGAAGGACCCCGTGTACGAGACCTCAAGATCGAACCATAGACCTGGACAGATAGTGAGGGATACCAGACAGACATATTACATTTTAT